TTGAAATAGATTAATTAACCGATGGTGTTGATCAAAGAGTGATTAGTCTTTTTCATTCACACATTAAATAATTCATTTTAAAAAATTAAGAAACAATTTTTTTTTTCATAGAAACAATTTTTTATATTATTTAATAATAAAATTTTTAATCAATTATAATACATATTTATTTAATGATATATAAAAATTATATATAAAAAAATTATAACAAATATTGTCTACATATTAATTATTACCCCTACGTTTTGTGTAGATTTGTGTCTTAATTGACAGATTCTTTAATCAAATTCAAATGTTTAGTCTTATCCAAATGGAAAAGGTTCTATGGCCCATAAAATAAAGTTCAAAAAAAAAAAAAAAAAAAAAAACCCCATTTGACATGTGATTACAAGATGCTGATGTTTCATGCCCTCTTATATATGTTTGTGGTTGATAATTAAGTAGCCAGCTGATTCAGACGCAAGTGGATGCTCGTTACCTTTGCGTTGCTATTGGTCCACAAAATTTCTCTATAAATTATAATTTGAAATCAAAATGAAAGCTTCTATATCCACTTGTTTGGCTTCCAAGAAAATTTAGGAATTTTTTTTTGCCGCCGAGGGTAGATCATAATGCAAAAAAATCAGGGTGTTTTTCTCAATTAAAATATTAGGATTTTTTTTATAAAAATATTTTTATATCCTTAATTAAATACAAATATACTATATAAATTTTTTTTAATAAATATATTAAAATAGTTTTATAAAAAAAATTATATTTTAAACAATAAGTCTTGTGATTTTCAGTTTTTCTTATTATATGATGAGAATGAACTTTTCATCATTTTCAAATCTCTTTTTATTTATTTTAAAATTTAAATTTAAAACTTCTAATATATTAACTCAAATTTTTAATCACTACAATATTTTTTAGGACAATAATTGGTATACACTCCGGTTCAACACATTGTATGACGCACTAATTAAAAAATTATTATTTTTTAGTTTGAAATTAAAAACAAATAAGTTTAATGATATAATTATGCATACAAGATAAATGAATTAATTGAATTGACTGTATTTATATTATATTTTTAATGATTAAATTAAATGTGTGTAAAAAAAATATGTTAAACCGATAATGTATCAATCATTTTCTTATTTTTTAAAAACAAAATACGTGTAAATATGCAATATGGTGGGTATTGAAGAAAATATTTAATACCACTAATTTTTAAAATTAAGCAATTGGAAAACCAGTTGATTTTTTTATATATATATTATTTGAAAAAGAGTGACCAACAAGAAAAGTTAAGAAAAAAAATTATATAAAATGTTGTCTATGAAAGGAAAAATGATGGAAAATAATAAGAAAAAAAGTGAAGGGATAGAATAAAGGAAAATAAAATAGAAATGTGTGACACTCATACGGGACCACATTTATCATTAAACAAAGAATGTATAGTATTTATTTATGAATGTGAATTGAATGTGAATTGAAGAAAACATGAGGAGGTTTTTGCAAAGGGGCCACACAGCCCACGAGATTTTTGTGATGAATTTTAATTTCTGTCCGCACATCCCCATCTGATTTTCTGAAGATGCCAATGTTTGTTCACTGTGCATACCAAACAATCATATTGCCTTTCCACCCAAAAAATATTGCTTTCTTCTCATTAAAAAAAATTTATTATTGAAATTTTCCTTCCCTTTTTTTTTTTTTATAGTAACATTTTTTGATATTACTTTAAAAAAATATTTAAAATTTAAATTTAGGATTAAAGAAGCATTAATTAACAGAACGTGCTCGTAACACACCGTTATCCTTCACCCATTATCTAAATTTAGGAGTAGATTATTATGTTGATATGCAGAGAAGGGCATAAGAATATTTATGAAAGGACATTAACGAATTAACATTTATAGATAATTTATTAAGATATTTAAATAATTTTTTGAATTAGGTATTTTGTAAAGTAGAACACATTTATTATATCTTTTATTATTAATTTATATAAAAAATTATGAATATAAATTTTAATTTTAACATCAATAACACGTAAATTAATTTTAATTGAATAATTAATTTAAGTTAATTTTTATTTTTATACTATAAATTAATATTTAAAATATACAATGAATGCACTTTTAATAATTTCCTTTAAGAAATTGTTACTCTATTTTTTCTTGTAAATTAATTTGAAAAGAGAAAAGTGAAATTTAAAATGTTTTACCATTTGTAAAATTATTTTTTGTGTGTGTCAATTTATTAAAAATATTTTAATTTTTTATTATTAATTTTAACATTTAATTATCAAAATGTTTTAATTTTTTTTTCAATCTTAATTATATGAAAAAACACTTTTATATTTAATATTTCCAAATTAAAATTTCTTTATATAGTTAGTGTTCAATTCAAATCCAATTTCACTTTTTCTTCCGACGGACTTTTCATTTCATAGTCCAAAACCAGCCATAAACATCCACAATGTGAATTGTGAACAGATATTGCTTAATATAAATGAAAATATAATAATTTTTTCCCAAAGACAACTAAACTCGACGAGAAGCTCCGGGTGTTGTAATTGGCTGCTACTCACGTAGTGCTCCTCACTGAATTCGAATTCGAATACTTCTCAATCTCTCACCCTTGTAATATTTTTTTTAGGTTTAAGTACCATTTTGGTCCCTCAACTTTTTACTTTGGTATCAAAATTGTCCCTCAGCTTTAAAAAGTACTAAAATTATTCTTAAACTTTCATTTTTTGATACCAAAATGGTCCTTCCATCAATTAAGTGAACATGTGGCACGTTAAAATACCACAAAATCCCTACTTTTTTTGAATTATAATGACGTGTAAATCCAGCGAACAAAATTTTGCTATTGTGACATGTTTTTTCCCCGTCAAATTGCTCTCCCTTTTTAGATTCAATTTTTGTGGGGCCCACATGAAAAATTGTTTTCCTTTTCCAGTTTCAGTTGAGTTCCCGAAGGCCAAACAAAAACAAACAAAGCAAAATTTTCTCAACAACCAAACAAAAAAAAAAGGGGATCAGAAATGTTTTCTCAGCAACCAAACAAAGTAAGAAGCTAAAGAAACAAAGCAAAGAAAACTAGCTTTACCATCCCAAACTTCAAAATTGATCAAACCAATCACCAAGAATATGAATTTCGTACTCAAAGTTATGGAAATAAAGTGAAATTGTGAAATTACTAGAAGAAATGCTAGGGTTTGTTCCGTGAGGAACCTAGAAACTAGGTTCTTCAAGGAACCTCGTGTAACCTAGGTTCTGGGTTTGTCAAAGGTTCCTCGTGAAACCCAGAACCTAGGTTCTTCGAGGAACCCAGGAACCCAGAACTGGGTTCTTCACGAAACCCAGATCTGGGTTCCTCACGAAACCTAGGAACCCAAAACTAAGTTCCTCAAGGAACTGGGTTCCTCAAGAAACCTAGCATCGAGTTAGGTTCCGCCACCCAACACCGGGTTGGGTTCCTCGCAGAACCCAAATCTGGGTTCCGCGAAGAACCAAGATGAATAAGAAGAAAACCCAACATTGGGTTCCATGAGGAACCAAGATGATGAAGAGGAAGAGGATGGTGAAGATGATGAGAAGGATGGTGAAGAGAATGGTGAAGAGGATAAACGGTGAGATGATGATGCCGGGGATTAGGCTGAGGATGAGGAGAAAGAAGAAGATGATGAAATGAAAGTTAATTAACTTAATTATTTTTAAATTCATTTAATTTATAAATTCATTTTTATTTAAATAAAAAAAATAACACAAAAAAAATGCCATCTCATCACTTTTAGCATGATATGTTTTCCACGTAATTATTATTTTTTTAAGAATATGATTTTGTGGTATTTTAACGTGCCACCTGTCATTTAACTGACAGAAAGATCATTTTGGTATCAAAAATGAAAATTTGAGGATAATTTTAATATTTTTTAAAGTTAAAAGACAATTTTGGTACCAAAATAAAAAATTAAAGGACCAAAATGGTATTAAACTTTTTTTTAATATATTACAATTATTTATAAATTAATTAAAAATAAAAAAAAATTCATAAAATTCGAAGGTACAACCATAAAAGTTTAATAGCTTTTATTCAGATTCAATATCGCTGTACCGAAACTGGCAGTTCTCTCGTATAACCCTGTTTTTTTTTCTTAAAAAAAAAAACTCGGCATTCTTCCCAGTTCCCATCCGTCCAAATCGAAGTCCTCTCTGTCAGGCGTCAGCTTTCTTTCATATTCTCTCTCTCTCTCTCTCTCTCTTTTTTTTTTTTCTCAGGAAACGAACAAACAAAAGCCAACTACTATAAGTCTATAAGTCTATACCTCAAAATGGATGCGTGTCGGCCTTTTAAAATATCCCACCGATTCTCTATGCCACCTCTCTCATTCATTCTCTGTCTTTCTTCCCACCTTTGAATCAATTATTGCGACAGAACGTTCTGGTACTCTGTTTATCTCCGTTTGTTTTTCACTTCATGGGTGCGGGTCTCTCTGCTCTGTTCACCGGTGGCTCTCTTTCTCAATTGCCGGTGAGACCCAGTTTAGGAGACTTGCCGGAGAGCTGTGTGGCATCGATTATTGGGTATTTGGATCCGCCTGAGATATGCAAATTTGCAACGCTGAACAGAGCTTTTAGAGGGGCTTCTTGGGCTGATTTTGTGTGGGAAGAAAAACTGCCCCCCAATTATCGAATTCTGTTCGGAGAAGTCTTTGGTTCTGTTCCCGTACAGTGGGGTAAGAGAGACATCTATACGAGACTTTGCAGACCTCATACTTTTGATGATGGTACCAAGGTATGGGGTTATATGGTTCTGTTCTGGTTATCATATATTATGTTAGACATACCTTTTTTTTTTTTATGGGTTCATAGCTCTGTTTTGCTATCAATTGCAAATTTTCTTTCTTTTGTTTGGTTCAAGAGAAAACATTGGATTTGACAGTAAAGGGTTTTTCTTTTTTTTTTTTCCATTCTTCCACGTTTTCTTTTAAGTCTAACAATGGTAACGTGATCGAGCACACCCTACAAGCCTTTTCCTTTCTAGTTTTCCTGTATCAAAGAGGAGATTATGGATTATAAAGTATTCATTCTTGGAGTGAATGGGTGATTAACATTATAGATAGAGGCTCTGAGAATTTGGGGTTTTTTTTTTTTTGCAGAAAGTATGGCTTGATAAGAGCACAGGTGGTGTTTGTCTGTCGATTTCTGCAAGAGGATTGTCCATAACAGGAATTGATGATCGAAGATATTGGAATCATATTCCTACTGAGGAGTCTAGGTGAGACACAACACTATTTTTGGTTTACATAACCAATTTGGAGGAAAATGGGAGAGGTTTTAGCTAGTCTCTCATCATTAATCTCTTATACTCTGTTTGGATTAGAAAAGTTGGAGAAAGAAGAGAAGGAGAGTGAGGGTGAGAGTACTTTCGTTGTTTAGATTAATAATTTTAATGAAGGGAAGGGATTAGAGCCACTTCCCCTCCTCTGTTTTGGAAGAATTGGGATCGACTGCAATGTTTAATTTATTTTTGTTTTCAATTTTTTAAAAAGATAAATAAATATATTTTATTTTAATTATTTAATTAATAAATTAATAAATTTTTTATTTTATTTTTTAAATTATTTAATTAAATAAAAATATTATCATTTCCATTTAAACAAATCTAACATCAATCATTTCTTTTCCTTTTGTTATCTTCTTAATGCATTTCTGTGGATTTGATTATTACTGAATATCCTACTGTTAAACGGCAAGATTATATGAGGGGGTTTGGTTACCTTAGGTCCCGCCATGCTGCTTTCTTACAAGCTGACCTCCTCATGGGAAATTAATTCCTGGATTGTCACTAGGTTTTGACTGCTTCCACGTTCCACAATTCTGGCGGCTTTGAGTTGTTTCAGGGTAAAAGCAGATTCATTTATCTCAACCATTACTTCTCATCTTGTGGATGTGTATTTGACTATATTTAATTCTTAGGGTAATGATAAGTGGCAACGATTAAGGGATAATTTTTTTATACAATTTTCATAAGTTATTAAATGAATATATATATATATATGTATAATATTGTTGAGTGTTAGTAAAATAAAAGAGTTAATTATTAAATGACATATAAAATTATACAAAAAAGTTGTAAAAAAAAATGTCTTGATCGTTTTCCTATTTCTTATCTAATTCTTTTCCTCCATTCAACTTAGTGAGATCTTGTTATGCATGGCAACATTTCTTGAGAATTTATGTTCTGATTTGGCATGTCATTTTATACTTTACATTATCATCAACAAATTTGTTCTTAGCCTTTTGAATTTCAACCTATGTGCATCTCATAATCATAGAAATTCTTTCACAAATAAACGTTTACATGAATCTATGCATTACTGTGGTCCCATCATGGGGATTTTTACTTCCCACTGATTAGTAATCCCAAATATGCATTTTAGTATAGCATGTAAACTTCCATTTCAAATTAATAATTCTATGATGTATTTCCTCTTGACATGGCTTAAGGATCAAGTTTTTGACTTGTATTGAGGGCGTGCACTCAATGTATGTTGAATTCAGCTAAAGGGATTGATCGAAATTGATTAATCTCTTTGTGCTCCATGTCTTGAGTCTTACATCTGTGTACTGAAATTGAGCACCGAAGATGATTTCAAGTTCCTTTTTTTGTATGTGCTAGGTTCTCTTCTGTTGCATATCTTCAGCAGATCTGGTGGTTTGAGGTTGCCGGGGAGGTTGAGTTTCCGTTCCCAGCAGGCACTTACAGCCTATTCTTCAGACTGCAGTTGGGGCGTGCCTCTAAGAGGCCGTTTGGACGCAGAATCTGCAACACCGAGCATGTCCATGGTTGGGATATAAAACCCGTACGATTTCAGCTATGGACTTCAGATGGTCAGTATGCTGCATCTCAATGTACTTTGAGTGATCCGGGGACATGGATTCACTACCATGTGGGGAACTTTGTTGTTGAGAACTCTAGCGCACCCACAAAGATTAAGTTCTCAATGACCCAAATTGATTGCACACATACTAAAGGTGGTGTCTGTCTAGACACTGTGGTGATATACCCAAGTAAATTTAGAGAAAGGTTAAAGCATTTTTGAATAGCACTTTAACCTTGTTTATGTAGGCCAGCACCCTCAGCTCTGTGTTTTTAGTTTATATAGAGCTATGCATCTTCGACGGCTAGTATTCTCAAGTACTTCCAGTTCAGTGTCTCTTTTAGCGTTAGGGTCATTTGCATCCAAGCAAGCAATGTGTATAATCAACTTGTAATTTTCTTTCACTTTTGATGTTCCCTTCTGTATGAAAAATTTTCAAACAAGGACAATCAGTGTGTATGACAGAAACTGCGTGTTTAGTGTATGAAAAAATTTAGGAACAAGGAAAATCAGTGAGCAATCTCCACTGGAGTCTAGACATAGCAATTTGACTACTATCTTTGGCAGCTAGAATGCCAAGACCACCATATCGTTTGGGTTGGGTCACCCTTTCCGGGGCAACTAAGTTGGGTTTCCTCTTTTCAGAGGTGGAACCCCAAAAAAAGTTTCTGGTAATTCTGTCAAGCTCGTCCTGATATAAGCTGGCAAAAAACATCGCCTGCGTGTAGATGGGATAGAATGAAACAGACCATGTCAAGGTCACTCCTCCTGCTGGAGAAAGCATGTTGGCTTTCCAAGTAGCTAGCTAGTTCCTAGCCTAATCAATAATCATTGTTTTAAAGTTAGGCCTGCTGATCGTCCCGTTTTGATCATCAATCAACCAATTGAGCAGATTTAATTGATCAGGTCAATGATTAACTTAATAAATATCATTTAATTCATTTTATGAATTATAAATTATTTTTATTTTAATTAGTTTTATTTTTAAAATTGATTAAAATAATTTTTATATTTATTGATCAAACTAGTTATTAATTTTAAGACTATTTTCAAAATTTATTAATTTAAAATTAATTTCATTCATTAAATTTATTTAGAAATATAATATATTTTTTAATAGGTATCTAAAACATTGATATCACATTAATTATAAAATTATCCTTTTTTTATATTGATTTTTTTCTAAAATTGCTGAAGAGTAATTTTAATTTTAAATTAATTAATTTAATTTAATTTTTTAAAAAATTTCATTTATTTTATTATCTAAAATAGTAATTGATTTTATTTCTAAATTTAGTTAGGATTAATTTTAATTTTAAATTGATTTCATCAATTTCATATATAAAGTAGTTATTTATTTTATTTTTAAAATTGAATTGATTTGTTTTAAATTAAAATCACTCTCTAATTTGAATATAATAATTTAATTTTAAATTACATTTAAATTAATTTAAAATTTTACATTCATTAATTGTGATTTAATTTTAAATAAATTTTACAATTTAATTATTATATTATCTATTAATTAAATAAATACAAATATAAAAATTAAAGAAAAACAAAAAAAAGGTGAAAATGTGAAAAAAAAAAAATTGAACTAGTAGGGTCAACTAGGTCAACCAAGTTTGAGCGAATTGATCAGATTCGAGCAAATTTGATTTGATCTAAACGGATTTTGATTAGATTTAATTTTAAATAGATTATTCGCATTACCCTATCCATTTTTAAACTTACGTCCAATTCAACCAATTGAACCAACCGAATTGGCTGGGGTTTCAAAACAATGTCAACAATGAATCCACATTCGTCCTTGGTTATCCTCTTAGGGGCAATTGGAAGACCCAAATACTTCCCAAGAGCACGAGCTTCTGAGAATCCAAAGGGTCTGGCATATATATATATATATTATTCTTGGTCGCTAAATCCATATTAGTCGAGAACAGAATCTTAGACTTCTCTTGATTAATCTTTTGTCCTGGGCTAGAGCGAAAAAAAATCAAGAATATGATGCAATGCAAGAGCATTGGAACGAGAAGCCTTGGGACTAAACTGAAAGAATCTAATTTTACAGTGGGAAAAAGGTGCAAATTACCCTTAATATTTTTGAATTGGAGCAAATTAACACTAAAAAAAATTTAAAATAAATTTACCATTTCAAATTTTTATTTTAAAAAACTCAACCTAAATTTAACAAGAGCATTATTTTTTTATTAAATTATTATTACTTTTAAATTCTAATAAAAGTTTTTTTTTTCTTTTGAATAAAAAGAAATTGATACATATTAAATAAATAAAGATTAAGAAAAAAAATTTATGAGATTCGAAAATGTAATTCATAAGAAATTATCTATACTAATCCAAGATTTAAATCATTAGATTGGAACGTGAAAATCAACTCTAACAAAAAGTTGACATCAACAATTAAATTTTTTTTTATCTTAATTATATAATGAAAGACAATCATCTCTTATTTTTTATCTCACTCTATTCGCATACCATACTACTCAAATTCAAAATCTCTGATCATTGGGTTACTCTAAGTCATTAGCAAGAATTAAATTTAAACTAATTTATCTCAAATAAAATTTTCGAGGTAATTCGATGGGCTTCAATTTGTTCAGTGTGTGCTCATTTATTTCAAGTCGGAAATATTAAAGAGACGAATTGTACATTTTGCCATTTAGGGGGTGGGACAAAGGAGACCAACAAAGGAGGCTGATATAAATGATTAGTATGGGACCATACCTACCTGTGGGTCCAACCGGTGATAAAATCATGTTAGATCACGGTTGTAGTGGGCCGGACCTTTTCAATTAAGATCTAAGTCCAGATCTGGTGAGCTCCCATTTTGTGGACGAGTAAAACGCGCGATGATTTCAAGGCAAGGTTAGAAAAGTAATTTGAGTTTGACAGATGGTATCCTCAACCGCCGCCACACTCACCACTCACTACCTACCAATCAAATCCAAAACTTTCCAATTTATTGTACTTTTCTGCTCTTGTCTGCCCCTAGATTTAATTTAAAAAAAGATAATAATATTATAATTATAATATTATATAAAATTATAAATTTATTACTATAAAGTAATGTTAAATAAAAATGATATATTATTAAATAAATGTATGTATGTACCATTAAATAAAAATGTTAAATATAAAATAATATATTATGTTATAAATTTATAATATTATATGATATCATACAAAATTAATGTATATCATTTTTTATTTTTAAAAATAGTTGGAGTTACAATTTACACTTAAAAATTAAAATTTTAATT